TGGTGTACCATATTTATGGCTTTCCTTTCTGGTAGCTTATGCAGAAACATATGTGACAGTATGTAGATGCAGAACATAAGTTCTGCAAATTATCATGACAGGCAATAAATAATGTGACATGCAGAATTCAAAGCCACAGTCACTGAAAATAATGAATAGACATACTCACATGCTGAAGATGACAATAACAATACAAAAGAATAAAGTTCACAAAAATAAAGAGTGTGTTTGATTTAAGGCGTCCTTCATGAGTAACACATAGCATGGGTTTTAGCAGTGGACCATAAAGAAAACTGCCTTAAAGCAGAAATGAGTGGCTTTGTCTTCCTCTGCAATCTGAGAGCTTGGGCATGAATGCTATAGAGTCCATGCTTGGTTGAATCACATAACAATATCTAAAACAAATGTGACCGCCCTAAAGGCAGCACTTCTGAAACTGAGAAAATTAAAAACATTTTAACGCTGTGCCTAAATCATTTTAATTGGTTCATAGTGCTTATGGCAGAAGAACTAGATCACGTGCTTTTTTATGTTGTTAAGTGTGACGGTGTGTTGTGATAATATAAATGTTGTTGTCCGATACGGAAGCATTTTGTTTTCGTGTTTCCTAAGAAACACCTTACTGGAAACCAGATTCTACTGGCACCTCAAGACTTTTCTAAAAAAAAAATTAGTTACAATAATATTACTTCAGCGTAGAAGACATTATACACTGATTGAATGTTGTGTTCCCTGGTGCTTTTGCTGCTATGTAATACCCTTCAAGAGAAAGGGCCCCCAAGAGACCTGTTTGAACATTTCATCTTCTTCCCGCCGCCTTCTCTCCTCCACCTGACGCCGACCGCTCTCCTCTGCTTCTCGGATTCTCCTATCTCTCTCTGCCAGGATGGTGAAGGCATGAATGCGTCTTTCCTCCTGGAGACGAACCAACTCCTTGGACAAGTAGTTGAACATATCTGCCAGGATGCCACCTGCAACACCTGATTTGTAGCTTTCCATTGTTAAAATCTAGTACAAGAATAAATTAAGAGAAGATAGTGACATATTCATGAAAATTTTAATACTGTGCAAAGATGACGTGCCTTTTTTTCCTACAAAGAATACAAAACAATAAATAATAATGTAGTGC